AGACTGTAACCTCGGTCATTTATACAGCGCCACGGTAAGAGACGCTGTCACCAATAGTTTCTGTCGACGAGTGCCTGGTGTCATTGAGTTCAGTGAAGAAAGCAGCGGAGTTCTCCCGTGACATCTGTGAGCTGCCGGCCAAAGGGGGACTTATGATTCGGAAATGATTCTCGAACAAGACGAAGGCGCTAGACTTGATACTCCCTATTGAGTGGGCGCAAGCGCCTAAAGTGATCGGTGTTGTCCGCACTGCAATTATCGTGCGCTGGGACTCGAATAGAACACTGAGACAGATCCGTTTTGGTTCCGATTCAGCTTTCGTGGCTGTCCTATAACCTGACGCGGCATGCTGTCAACCGTGTCATCATTGTTCGGCCCCTCGGATTAATGCGTCCGCTGCTTCTGCCCGCTAAAGTGCTTCTACAGAAGGTGTGTAGTAAAGGACTGGGGTTGGATGACCCTCTCCATTCGTCAGAAGAACAACAGTGGAAGCAATGGATTGACCATACTTCATTTATCGGTCAACTCTCCGTTCCCCATTGTGTAATGCGGAACGACGAAAGTGCACAGCTACACATATTCAACGACGCCTCGGAAACTGGTCATGGTGTGATTGCATATCTACAGCACGTCTCTGCTTTGGGTCGGCCTTATTGATCTCTCTTACCTACGAAATCCAGAATTGCTGCATTGAAGGCAACCACTATACCCAGGTTAGAGATGGTAGCTGCAGTGTTGACTGCAAAAGTCAAGAAAATATTCGTTGATGGTTTGCGCCTGGGTCCATGAGACACACTATTGGACGGACGCGCAAATCGTGTTGCATTACATTTACAATAAGTTCACAAGATTCAGTACATTTGTCGCTAACCGATTTGCCGTCAAACACCAGATGTCTGAACCGACCCAGTGGAGCCACGTTCGATCGAACGATAACATTGCAGACTTGACGTCAAAGGGCAACGAACAGTTGAGCGAATGGAGAGCGTGGGTAGAACGACTGGATTTTCTTCTGCAAACCGACTGCTCTTGGATGATTGGTTCCACTCCAACGGAAAGCGTTGCAAATACTGGATTTAAGCAGCCAAGTGGTTTCACAAATGCTGCATCATCGAACCCCGCGAACCGATTTCTACCGCAACTTTCGGATTGGGCCAAGTTACTGGAGGCAGTCGTTTGGCTGGTTCGTTTTTAATGCTGGCTGTTGTCCCGTCGCAGTACGCGTCGGGTAGTTGGTAATGGTCCGTTGTCGGCTGGCAAAATAGAAGATACCAGGACAAATATCTTGCGCATGGTACAGCCCCAAGCGTTTAGCAACAAGCTGATAAAGCTTAAATCACGTAGCGAGCAATCGACCTGCATTCGTCACAGGTGGCTATAACGAAGCTCAATTCGATACCTGTACCCCGTTTTGATTGAGGGCATTATTTGCTTCGGAGGACGCTTAAAGCACCCTGCTGTTCTTCCCAGTAGACATTCAGTAGTCGACGCGCTGGTGGGTCATAACCATGTTTCAGAAGGCCACTGTGGAACGCATCAAGTACTATGCACGCTCCACGCCAATTACTGGATATTGCATGGGGCTAACACAGTGCAGCGAGTTATCGGAAGCTACATACACTGCCGTAGGCGCACCGCTACCTCGTGCCAGCAACAGATAACACCTTAACCCCGTTCCCGGGCGGAGATTGGTTGACTATCTTTCAAGAACCTGGGTGTGAACTACTTCGGCTCCATTGTTGTAAAACGAGGAGGGACTGTAGAAAAGCGCTTTGGATGCATATTCAATTGCCCGAAGACCACGGCGGTGCATTTGGAGGCAGCCTACGACATCTCGACGGAAGTATTTATTACGGCGTTCATCCGTTTCATTGACAGACGTGGTTACTCGTCGGACATATATGGTGAGAACGAAATAAAATTCGTTGTGGCGGTTAGAGAACTACTTGTCTGTTCAAAATTGGGATAAAAAGTATTCACGTAGAGCTGTGCGCTCGTGTGGTTCAGTGGCACTTTGCTCCTCTATTTGCAAGCCATAGGGGCGGGGTGTGGGGAGGAATGATCCACTCAGTAGAGAAAATATTGTACAGTGTATGCAACGAGCAGCGCCTGACAACCCTTTCCATTGCTGCTGTATTCCTCGAGGTGGAACGGATTCTGAACATACGCCCGCTAATCTCACCCGCCGATAGTTAAGATGCGTCCACATTTACGTCGAACAGTCTGCTTCTCATACGATGCGAAATCTTACAGCTACCGGATATCGACATCGCAGAGAGGTAGACTAAGCGCTGAATGCAAGTAACTCAAGTAGCCAAAGGTTTTTGGAAGAGATGATTGAAATAATACATAAAACATCACAATCGCGGCAGAATTGACAGCTTCCGAGTAAGGATGTAGAAAAGGTGAATTAGTCTCAGGGGCTTCCGAGCAACTACCAAGGGAGTGTTGGCGATGGCCGGGGTGGCGAATTGTGCAACAAGCAAAGACGGTTTAGTGTGGAAAGTATACGTTAGAACAGCTTTAGATATTTTGAGAAAAGGTGCCAGAAGAGTCTGCCGCATAGAGGGCGATGAATAGCAGCGTTTAAGTCTAGTTCGAAGTGTAAGGCAGTAGTCATGGAAAACGGCTTTCATCCGAGCACTTCGATGCCAAGAAACGCCCGAGAATTGCGTTTAATGGTTGTCATGGAAAACGGTTTTAGCCAAGACGTTATTGTGTGCTTGTCCTGCTTTTCCTTCTGTTTTCTAGTGAACGACGCTGTAGGCATTAGTTGGGCCGATAGCCCGAGGAACGTTCGAGATCTCAATCGCAGGAGAATTTCGAAGGCCGGTGTAACGTGATTAGCTACGCAAGAAATTCTCCTACCATTCCGACGCCTGACCCGAGGTTGTGTGAGTGCGTCGTCAACTCTAACAACGTTCTGTGCCCGTCGTCCATCTCGTATTCTACGTTGGCATCCAAGCCGTCCGAGTGATAGCAACCGTTGTTCATTGTGGAAACCTTCCCCTACCCATTAACTCGCCGGACGCCGTGCGCATTGTGTGTATGTGTCTTTGCGTGTGCAATTGTCACCACTTCTCCGTGTCCCGTGTATGTGTGTGACCACACGATGATCTCGACCGCCCTACTCCACCATTTGCCAGACGGCGTTTGGTATCCCATCCCCATTCGTCAAACTTGACCATTAATCGCACCGCGGTGTGTGGCATTCCTATTGGAATACGTTTGTCCATACACGGTATCGCTTTTGTAATTTATCCAACTGCTCATATGCACTTTTGATGGTTGACAAACGGACGATGATACCCTCTTGTCGAGCGTTTCTCCAAAGCATTTGTTGCTAACGAAGAAAGCTTACAATTGAGGCTCCTTGTATTATGTAATTAATCGTATGTAAATAGCACCGTACACCTTCTATCCACCTCGTGTTTTGAACTATTCGGGATGGTTTGGTACGCGTGGCTCTACGACAGCGTTTTGTTCATTACAGCAGGATAGAAACAAATTGTTGTCTTCGCACAATGAATGTGGTCTCACTTCGGTTTCTAGCAACTCTCTTGACCAACATTTTGCTTGCCCAGCTAGGTGAACAACACTACAAGTGAACAAGCCAGTACTCCAAGCAATTTCAGAAGCGGATGAAATGGACATTGAATGTCGTCTTTGGCCGAGTCACAACTGCAGCTGATTGGAGCTAACTAACAGGTTGCATCTACCCTCGCGTCGCTCCCGTATGCGGCACGGTCTGTTAGACTGATACGCAGACAGTCGGCTTTTACCTATGAACTCATCCAGAGTGCGGCCTCAGCTTTGCGACTTTTTTCAGCACTAATGCCAAAACCATGCTGTGATTATTTCTGCTTCACAGAATATGAGCCCGTCCATAGGTAGGCCGACAGTGCAACTTTTTAATATAAAATGCGTCAAAAGTCGTGCGTCGTTGTATAAACCAACCCGTAAAAAATTGACAAAAAAGGAACGAAATTATTTTGCCACGATTTTGACGTTATAGCCACCTGCTCTGACTTGAGCGAGTGCAAGTGAAACCTGCTGTACTCTTGGTCAGTTGTGGTAGCCGTAAGGTTACAATCGCGGTTAATAGGGAACAGGGCTGTCCGAATAGACTTTCACCGCGCCGGAAGGCGAATTGATCAGACGTCAAGTCACATGAAACAGGTAACACAACCGACAAAATAAGGTAAGGTGAGGGGATGCCAGACAGGCCGCCTCGCATAATCTGGGACTTCATACCAACGAACTACGGTACAGCAGTTGGTGAGAGCGAAGTTCATGATAGGAGTGTGGGACGACGTTGTACTTTTAAGACACCGAATCACCTGACACCACATAATGTTTAAGGATTTTGGATTTGCTAATGCCATCCGTCGCGCAAGTCAAATGTGTAATATACCGAGAATTTTCGATACAAAATTAGCGTGTCCAGTTAAAAGCACTTCATATACTGTCCGTCATTAGTGGGTGGTGTTAAAGCGAGATAAAGCCGGTGGTGGGCAGTGAATTCCTGGGTGGATTTTGCACGTGACCTTTTTCAAATTCCGTATAGCCTTTTTACAAGTCGACCCCCCCCCCGCCACCACGGAAACAAAAATCGTCTAAAAATTTTCAGCTTATATTCGATGATATATGGTAGGTAAAATATGCCTCATTGGTCGACGAGGGCATAAATATAGAGCACATAATTCATTTCGTCTATTGCCATTATCTGCCGCTTGAATGACTCAACACTGATGGTAACCGTATTAGCATCGCTACTTGTGTAATATTTAAACGTTTTTATTTTGCGTTGAATTTTTAGCAGTTCAAAACTCTCAAGGAAATGTGGTATTTGCTTTTTTCTTCAAATTTACCAGTTTAAATTAAAAACTTTTCAATCAGTCGCTAAGCCTAATAATCTGCACTAAATTGCTATTAGACCACTTCATATGCCCACAAACATGCTAACGTCAGGGACCATCTTCTTTTCCGTCTCTTTTCAGGGAATCGCAAAAAGCACATCTTTGAAGCACCTATCATTTAAAGATTCGAATATCGGTGATTCTGGCCTATTGGGTTGGTTAACGGTCAATAATGCATTAAATTGCTTAACGAAGTTTCATTAAATGACTTTCAGAACATTTGTTCATCAGTGTGAGCGGCTTAAAAATCTTTCAGTATCGTAACCCTATTAGATGGGAAAATAAGTGTGGTAATTGCGGTTTACGGCTTGTTATGTATCCCCACTGAGTAATGGCGCGTTGCAATTCCTTGTTACGTGTGGCTTTTAATGAACTTTATGCCTCCCGGCAAATTTCCGAATAATCCCGTGTGCCCTTTCCGTATTCTCCATGTTACTATGGCTTTGTGTCAAGTCAGACTCAAACCAATTTCATAAACCCGGATATATATGTTGTCAGCGTATGCACCACTGCTGCTTCTGTTCTAAAACAGTGACTCCCCCATAAAGTCACAACTGCTGTGTGGAATGAAAAACGTGCGCATTAGTCATGCGAACAAGCTATCCCGCAGCATACTAACCGTTTTCCTTGGGTTGACATGTAAATGTGATTAGTATGGTAACACTAATTGCTATAGAGTTGCATCACGCAAAAAATAAAACCCTTATTTGAGCGCATGGTGGAAACAGGTACTTTTAACATCCTATATAGCAGTTAAAAAGGAGCATTTGGTGTCTTTGAAGAAAGCAAGCTGTACGTTGAACGGTTTGCTGACGGCGAAATCAAGGGGTGTAATGCTCATCTCTCCCACACGCAGGATCCTGGGGGGCCGAATCTAGCCAGACATGGGTATTTCAGCGACTAGTGACGTGGTCTTGTAACAAACAGTGGCTGACCATACAGTGTCGCCTTTTCCTAGAGGTTTCCTGGTAATTCATGAGTAGCGACCTGGTTAAATATATATACAGTACCCACATTAGTTAACCATCCTGGAGAATATTCCATTTTAGAAGTTTTAATAACTCGTGGGTTGTTTGGTCAAGTCACTGTGCGAAGCCTTATTCCGACGATGAGCAAATGCTTGGTCTATCCAGCTGAATATCTGTATCGTCTACAGTAATCACAAGACTGGAGAAGCCACCACATCTTTTGTTGCTTCTCCTAACCTGTCACTTGTGCGGAAGGGGACTTGTGACGCTTCAGTTGATCAGCGCTCTTTTCTGGCTAAGAGACCTGATCATCACTAGCTGCGCACCTATTAACACTAATCCCTACACTGACGCGAAATATCAGCAATTTTTGTTGACAAGCTGGGCATTGATTTGTTTGTCGACCTAGACAATTTCGTTGCAAATGTCTTAAACAGTGGAGGGGGATTTTCACTGCGTTTTAGTGACCAGCTTGTTAGCATCAGTTGAACAGTGACGGATCTTTAGCCGCAGTGTGTTGTTTACCAGGTCGCACCGTTTAATACCCAACCAGACCACGATCTATGGACACTGCGCTGGATAGCCCCGTCAGATCTTCGGCTAATCTAGACAACTAAGTGCGACATTGAATTGTTGCACCCAGATTCAAGGATGAAGTCTATGTGTGCGTGGGTTGAGTTAAATTCCTGCGGAATGGCTCGCTAAGCTTCTAGAACCGATCAGAAAAGTCCTATCCAAACACAGTCTCAGAGTTACATTCAACTTCGTAGACTCCCTAAGCTATATGCAGTTATCCGGAAGGAAAATATTTTCTCTGGATGTAGTGTCGCTCTTCACCAATGTGTCGCTGGAGGAGACGATAGACTACCTATGAGCTGCTGTTCGATTGCACCATGTGGATGTCGGCCTCTCGAACGAGCGACTTAAACGGTTGCATCTGATGTGTACTAGGAACATCCAGTTCCTGTTCGAAGGAAAAATTTACAAACAGAAGGATGGAGTCGCAATGATCTCTCCGTTAGGACCGTTGTTAGCAGACGTATTTATGATAGCGTTCGATAGTTTGGTACTTTCGGAGAATGTACTGCATTGCAGATGGCCCGAAGAGGAAGATCGGCCAAGCCAAGGGTTTCGAGCCAGTCGAGATCAAGCACGTTGAGCTTCGCCTTTGTGATATAGCAGATCGCGTTGAACGTGGCGCCCCGGAAGGAGACGGAGCAATGCAGCTGCCCAGTTAGCTGCACGCGACCACCACAGGTGCTGGTGGCAGACTGGGAGGTCGGTTCGAAAGGTGGCTTGCCAAGGGATCGCCAGAGAACCTCGGAGATGATCGTGATGTCCGACGCAGTGTCCAACTGCAGTCGGACCGACTGACCATAGATCAAGACGTCGACGAACTTTCTCCGATCCTCAGCGTTGATTTGGAACGTGGCCAGCAGGCTCAGAGAGCTGCCAACCGGACCAGGTTTGGGTGTGCGTCTGGGTCGGGACCTCTTCTTTAGATGATGAATCCAGTTTCCTTACTACGTATGCAACACCCTTTTGGGCATTATCCTTGGCTGCGTTTACCGTTTGGCTTGAAGGTGTCGAGTGAAATTTTTCAAAAGTGATTGGTGCAAGCGGTAGAGAATTTAAATGGTGTAACATGCGTGGCAGACGACGTTTTGACCTATGGCTTGACAGAAGAACAGCATGACGCTAATCTCCACCGTTTCCTGCAGCGTTGTGTGCAAAAGAACATCAAGCTTAAAGGTGAAAATATTGAATTTTGGAAAGACGAGGTGCTTTCCATGGGCATTTGCCAACAACACAAGGGGTCAGTGTCGATCCAGGAAAAAGTAAGGCAATTCGAGAGGTGCCGCCCCTAACGATGTGAAGGGAATCCATCGCTTAAACAGTATGGCGAATTACTTGAGCAGTTTTATGCCAAACTCGGTGATATCATGACACTTATCAGGAAATTGATTCACAAAGGAGTAACTTGGAGATCGGGAAAATAACAGGAAACCGCATTCGAAACTATTAAGCATTTCATCAGCAACGCAGCTATACTCGCATATTACGAGACAGCGCAGGCTATAGAGGTACAGTGTGAAAGTAATCAATACAGGTTAGGTACTGTTATCTTACAGAATGCAAAACCGGCTTTCTTCAGTCGAGCACCACTGGTTTGTTTTCCGCGTCCACAGACCTACTTGAGGAATTTCCCGGTGATGATCACAGAGTAGTATCATTTTCTTTCAGTAATCCCACACGATACCAGATATCGGATGTGTCCAAATTTCAAATGCATACCAGGAACTAAATAGCCGTCGACTGGGGACAGTTTACCAAGTTAATGAGATCTGTTTAAAGGGAACGGTTTACCTTAATGAACGGTCACAAGCCGCAGTAGATGTACCGTACAACAACATTTTTCTGGTATTGATGCACTCGCTCCCACTGTGCATCGACACTTTCATCACAGGAAGAAAACACATACATCAAGTAAAACAATCCTAAAATTCGAAATGTTGCTAAACTCATAACGTAAATGCATCCTCCTTCTTGGTATAACGCCAAAAACATATCACAGCTCTACAGCTGGCGTATAATAACAAGGAGATCACTGGTGAAAAAAGCGACCTCTGCAGCCAATATATAATCCGTGAGCTACTCAACACATTAAAGTATGCGAATACGAAACGGAACCAAGACACGATCGCAGTTGTTACGGCGGATAACCACGTAATAACTGATCCGGCCCACACTTGGGAAATATTCAGGCAGTACTTCTTCTCGTCCTTTAACTTGGATTATAACCATTAAAGCTTGATCAACCCAGCGGTGTCAAGTTTGAACTCCGTGACGTATAAAAGCTTATAAAATGCATAAAATCATCCTACTTTGGCGTACCAGATAATGTATCTCCTGCACTTGTCAAACTACCCTTGCTGCCAATGCATAGGTTCAACATATCCATAAATTCTGGCACCATAGCAAAACAGTGGAAGGAAACCATTGTCATACTGAGACATAAACCAGGCACCCATCTCGAAAAAAGGAATTATCACCCACTAAGTAACACCTTTCCTATCAAATATGCTGAAGCGACTTATAAAAGCTGCAACGGTTGACTTCCTGTTGTCTTGTAAGTTAATCAACGACTTTCAACACGGTTTTCCGAATGCTCGTTCAGGCATAATATGGCAACTTGAATTTCCACATCATCTAACCGCTCCACAGGATAACGTCAATTCCGCAATCGTTATTGCCTCGAAATGCACAAAACTTTCGATCAACTGCCACATGGAAAACTGATATCCAACTTGATGTCATATGGAATTGGGTAACCCATGGTTTCGCGGTTCAAATCGTATCTTACGAATCGAACGCGGGTGGTACAGATTTGGGAACACAAATCTGAATGAATGGCAGTCACAAGTGGAGTATCGTAGGGTAGTGTCCCTGTTCCTATAAGGTTTTTGGTGTAGGTTAACAACATATTTGACACTGTGAAATTCGGAACATGCTACGTGTTTGTCGACGATGTCGAAAATGTATACACTTCCCCTATAAACGAAATTACAAATATGATGCAGTTCGATCACCACGCGCTCGGAACCTGGTGCTCAAAGTGAGGGATGTTATTTACCACAGATAGGTATTACAGGGTCTTACAAAGGCGACATAAAATCTGATGGTCTAAAAACTGGCGTCAGGCCAAATAATATATGCCACACCGTTTGCAACCTAGAACTGAGATACTCTTGCTCCCCCAACTTCTCTGAATAAGTTACTTACGTCACTGCAAAGACCGGACAGAGCACTGGAATGTTGCTAAGAAAAGACAAATCAGGAGAATCCATAGTGCATATTCATCACTTTCATGTCCCCTTTTGGAATACTGCTCGACGGTGTACAGTTACACGAACAAACGGGACCGCATTATATTATAAAATGTACAACGTACTTTCATAAAGCGTTTCCTAGGTATCTCATCAAAATTGAACTATTTCGAACGGTATGAGGAACTCCAATTCAATCTTCTTTGGTTGAAGCGTATGAAGCACAATCTAATAAGTTCCTTTGACATCAAACACAAGAAAAGGCATGTTTCCAAGTTTAACATGGAAATAACACAAACACCGTTATACATCACACGAAATAAAGCAAATTCTGTTGTTGAATGCAGATCGGCGACCAT